CTGTGAGTTGGAACTAACTCGATGGCACCCAACAGCAACGGTCTCTGTGGAAGCAGGCTGCCACATCTTCTGTGGAGTGGCTGGTGAGTATGATCCTCCGACCTTTTGGTTAGCAGCCAAGCACTTAACCACTGCGCCACCAAGTAACGACAAATAAGGAGAGAGAGGTTACCCTTCAGGGTAGGGAGGAAGAATGTAATCAGGAAAGGAACACAGGGCATTGTTATTTGTAAATTTATTTTTAAGCCTGGAGGTGGAAGCCATGAACTCATTATATTATTATCTATTCTTTTTCTACATGCCACATGATAGTAAAACAAAAACTTGGCCCACCAATTCCATGTCTAAGGAAATAATCCCATGTCTTGGGCAAGTGCTAAAATATTTATATGGAAAGATGATTATCTCTGCATTGTTTAAACAACAGAAAAATAAGAGAAACCTTAATGCCCGATAATAGGAGATTGGTTGAACAACTTATAGCACATCCACAAGATGAAGTAACAATAAAACTAAACTCGTTGCTGTCAAGTTGATTCCGACTCATATCAACCCTACAGGACATAGTAGAATTGCCCCATAGGGTTTCCAAGACTGTAATCTTTACAGAAGCAGACTACTACATCTTTCTCCCACGCAGTGGCTGGTGGATTTGAACCACTGACCTTTCGGTTCGCAGCCAAGTGCTTAACCACTTTGCCACCAGGGCTGGAAATAGCAATACTTAACAGTTAACTGCCAGTTGCCATTCAGGCAGCTCTGACCCATGGAGACCACATGTGTGTCAGGGTAGAGCTGTGCTCCACAGAGTTTTCAATGACTGATTTTTTATGTTTAGTTTTTGGAAGCAGATCTTCAGGCCTTTATGTTATGTGTTTGACCACACACACACACACACACAAACAAAACCAAAAAACAGAGAAAAGTCACCTTGGGAATCTGGTTAAAATACCACCCTCCTTTTTCCCCTTCTTTCTTTCTCATTCCTCCTCCTCCTTCTTCCTTCCCCCTTCTTCTCCTCCTCCTTCCTTCTTCCTCCTCTTCCTCCTCCACCTTTTTCCTTCTTCTTTCCTTCTTCCTTTCTCCTCCCGCTCTCCTTCCTCCTTCTTCTTCTGCATGTTGTGCATTTTTTGTAACTTGCTTTTTCAGTTAACGCATTGGGCATTTTCTCATGTCCGTATGTATAATCAATCTCATTCTTTCAGAATGATTGCATGTATAAGGACATTAGACCTTCTCCTATAGCTGATGGGAAGTCATTGAAACATAGTTACACTTGTGGTGTAGATACATCATTGTGACTGCAAAGTAGAAGGGGACAAAGCTAGAGGCAGGGAGCCAGTGAAGAAGGTAAAGTTAGGGTCCTCCAGACAACCAAGATGAGGTCCTAGACTAAGATAGGTGGAATAGAGATATTGGGACACCTTTGAAAAATGTGTGGGATGTTAGAGTCATGAGATTCGAATAAGATCCAAGATGGAGCCTACTTTTATGCTATAGAAATGGTTCTTCTTCAGCACTGGGCTATTTTCAGCCTATCGGGCTATGGGTTCAGTATAGATTTTTGTTGTTGAGTTGTTGGAGTTCTTTATATATTCTGGATACTAGATCTTTATCAGATATATGATTTGCAGATATTTTCTCCCATTTGTGGGTTGTCTTTTCATACTCTTGATAGTGTCCCTTGATGTGTAGAAGTTTTTAATTTTGATAAAGTCCAATTTATCTTTTTTTTTTTCTGTTTTATGTGCTTTTTGTATTATATCTAAAAAAATTTGCCAAATCCGGTGTCATGGTGATTTATCTCTGTTTTTTCTTCTAAGAGTTTTATAGCTTTAGCTCTTACATTCAAGTCTTTGATCCAGTTTGAGTTAATTTTTGTGTGTGGTGTGAGGTAAGGAGTCCAACTTCATTCTTTTGCATCTGTTGTTGTTGTTAAGTGCCATTGAGTTGGTTCTGACTCATTGCAACCCCATGTATAATAGAACGAAACACTGCCTGGTCCTGCACCATCCTTACAATCTTTGCTATGCTTGAGTCCATTATTGTAGCCACTGTGCCAATCCATCTCGTTGCGGGTCTGCCTTTTTTTCGCTGACCCTCCACTTTAACAACATGATGTCCTTCTCCAGGGACT